AGGCCTTATTCTGAACCACGAATAAGACCCAAATAAGCTACATAGGGAACATGAACTATTTCCTACCTGTGCACTTCTTTGGACTCCCCGGTCTCTTGCCATGTTGTCCAAGTTTGCAGACAAAGTTCTCCTCCCAGAACTCGGCGAACCAGACGTTCCTGCGGTTGTTGGACAGCGAGCGGCTTTTGAAGTACCGATCAAACGCTGTGGAAGAAACAAAACATTGTGTTATTACGCTGATGATCTCCTTCTAAATGTCCTCCTCTCTAAATATTTTCATTTTTTTCTTCCTGGTTTGTTTTTGAAGACGGGGTCAAATCTGGCCCTCAACACATCCAATAACCTTTAGTTATGCACAAGAAGGAAAAGGAGAAGATAGAGATGCAGAGAAAGAAGTGGGAAAGAGAAACATTTTGCTGCTATGGAACAAAATGTGTTTCATCTCTGACGTTGAGACGGTCAAAATAATAGTAAAAACATCAAACATTTAAAATGCATTGTGTTTCATATTGCTTTTTAATCTTCATTGATAGTCTGAAAGTTAATAGAGTGGTGCAAGAATGAGTCCTCACACCCGGAAAGGACTTTTGCCACTTTTTGTTCCCTCGTCTGGAAGACAATGGTTTTCTGAATGTGTTTTTGGATGCAAGCCTGAAATAAGGTCTGTGGTTGACACAAGCTGAGGAGATTTCAAAGTTTTGTTCCACGACATAAAATACGTCAGTAAATACCCCACTGGTGAAGTCATGTGACCGAGCTGTAGTTCCTTTATAGCCCAACATTAGCCACCTTTAGCTTAGCGGTGGTGACGTGAAGTCATGTGACCGTGCTGTAGTTCCTTTATAGCCCAACATTAGCCACCTTTAGCTTAGCGGTGGTGACGTGAAGTCATGTGACCGTGCTGTAGTTCCTTTATAGCCCAACATTAGCCACCTTTAGCTTAGCGGTGGTGACGTGAAGTCATGTGACCGTGCTGTAGTTCATTCAGTCCAACATTAGCCTTTTCATTCTTCTAAATATCTTCCTCTCTTTGTGCTCTGCTTCCTGACTCACCGTCCACAGACACCCTCTTGGGGAGGATGGTGACGGCGCCCTCGGCCACTCGCTCCTGCTGCACCACAGGAGAGATCTTAGACCCCCAGCTGTCAGACCCCACCCACAGGAAGTGACCCGTCAGGTTGTTGCGTTTCGCCGCATCCAGGATTCGCCTGCAGGGGAAATGGAGAGAGTTACTACTCGTTAAATATTAATGACATTTCTATATGAACAGAAATGTCTACAACCATGCTAAAGGCTGTTCTGAAACACAGCTGTGTTTTGAGTAATGGTGGGATTGAGAGAAGTGCATTGAGTACAGTAAGATTTAGACATACGTGTTCATTTTACAAATAGGCTACTTCTATACTTTTCGTTTAATAAGCACTAAACTAAAGTCCAGATGTCTTTTGCTTAATTATTCATAAACCAAAGGACAGACATCTTGACTTTACGAAAACTGATAGCAGTCCAATGTTGTCGAGACATGTTATCCAATATGAACCTCATGCAGTGTCTTTCTTTCTATGTCAATTATTAAATTAAAGGTCAAACGAGATGGTCTTTTTCAGTCAACTCTTTTTCTCTGTGAGGTCTCAAGATTCTCTATGCGTGAGATTCAGAGCCTCAGATTAATACTGATATCTCTGTGTGTGTGTGTGTGTGTGTGTGTGTGTGTGTGTGTGTGTGTGTGTGTGTGTGTGTGTGTGTGTGTGTGTGTGTGTGTGTGTGTGTGTGTGTGTGTGTGTGTGTGGCTCCTAGTTCACTCAGATAATTGGAAGCTTGTTATCTTAAATCTGCACTCAACAGCCGGTGGATGAACTGATTGAGAATATCCAGACACAGAATTGTGTGTGTGTGTGTGTGTGTGTGTGTGTGTGTGTGTGTGTGTGTGTGTGTGTGTGTGTGTGTGTGTGTGTGTGTGTGTGTGTGTGTGTGTTTTTAGTGGACGTTGACCTTCAGAAGATGAACAGATTATTTTTACAATTTATTTTCTAAATATGTCAATAAAACTGAACAAAAGTAAGTACACATTTTTCTTGAGTGAAATGGTAGAAATTGGATTACAAAGTCTCAAGTCATGCTCAAAATGATAATGCTCACATGCTGATCTACCATCACAGTGTAGCAGGTTAGATTTGCTAATTTGCACGAAACGGTGCTGAGCATGATGGGAATGTGATTACTTTCGCTGCTATTTAATCACAAGCACAGTAGAAATTAAGATGTCCGACTGATAAGTGTGCCAGATGAAAAAATGAAAGGATCAGTAAACAAATTTAAATTCACCCTAAAGGGGATAAAAAACATGTCTGCAGGAAAGTTTACAGGAACGCATTTAAAGTTGTTTACTCCAAAGGGGAAAGATCAGAGATTCTCTAAAGTCTGTAGGCTTTAACTTCCTGGGAACAAGAATACAGAAACAACACATAATGAAAATCCATTCACCAATCCACAGTTGATGAGATATATAGATAGATTTAGAAGTTTAAAAAGTGTAAGAGCCACAAATACTGTTGGGCTACAAATACAGAACAATTTATTTTCATTTTGTTTAAAGTCTTTTACATTTCAAGCCTCGCCATGGCTCTTATATCATCATCGTTATACCGTACGATTTTGCAAAGTATGATAATTTGTGTTGAGAAGATTGACCAATTCACCTGTTTGTCATCTGCAAACTTTGCAAAATCAAACTTGTGTTTGTGTGTGTTTTTTACCGGATGTCGTCCTCGTTGGCGAACATGATGACGGCGCGAGCGTTGGGCGTCTCGATCAGACGCAGGATGATCTTGTCGAACTCGCCGGGTCTCGGCTCTCGAGGAATCTTTAGAGACTGAGCGATACAAACCCCACCTGAGAGAGAAATGAAGAGAGACATTGAGTATTAAAAAAAGAGCAAGACTTATTGACAGTCGGATTAGTCAATATTCAAGTTGGAGAGCAACCAATCTGAGCTGGACGTCGTTCACGATCCACATGTCATATGGCATGGGTCGGCAATAGGCGGCCCGCGGGCAATAATATTTGTCCGGCAAATTATTTTGAGAATAACAAATATTTTTTTTATTTTTTATTTTATATCGGACCGACAGTCACAAATATAGGCTATAATGTCCGAATAGAGGATCTACCTAAACCTGAAGAATGCTTATTGTACTTTTATCCATGTTGAGTGAATGACACACAGCACAGGCACAATCTGGCAGCGGGGTGCACTGACGCTGATAGTGGATCAATAAGTAGGTGGACAGCGCGTGGTGCTGAAATAGCCAATATGCAGTTTGTGGTGTGAAAAAAATAACACCAACTCACTAAATAATTCAAACGTAATGTTTACTTATATGCAGTGTTGGGACTAACGCGTTACAAAGTCCATTCACCACCACCAGGGTCAAGCTAAGCCCCTCCCCTTCAGACCGACCCAACTATCCATTCACCACCACCAGGGTCAAGCTAAGCCCCTCCCCTTCAGACCAAACCCAACCATCCATTCACCATCACCAGGGTCAAGCTAAGCCCCTCCCCTTCAGACCAACCCCAACTATCCATTTATCACCACCAGGGTCAAGCTAAGCCACTCCCCTTCAGACCGACCCCAACTATCCATTCACCACCACCAGGGTCAAGCTAAGCCCCTCCCCTTCAGACCGACCTAACTATCCATTCACCACCACCAGGGTCAAGCTAAGCCACTCCCCTTCAGACCGACCCAACTATCCATTCACCACCACCAGGGTCAAGCTAAGCCCCTCCCCTTCAGACCGACCCAACAATCCATTCACCACCACCAGGGTCAAGCTAACCCCTCCCCTTCAGACCGTACCTAACTATCCATTCACCACCACCAGGGTGAAGCTAAGCCACTCCCCTTCAGACCGTACCTAACCATCCATTCACCACCACCAGGGTCAAGCTAAGCCCCTCCCCTTCAGACCGACCCCAACTATCCATTCACCACCACCAGGGTCAAGCTAAGCCCCTCCCCTTCAGACCGACCCCAACTATCCATTCACCACCACCAGGGTCAAGCTAAGCCCCTCCCCTTCAGACCGACCCCAACTATCCATTCACCACCACCAGGGTCAAGCTAAGCCACTCCCCTTCAGACCGACCCCAACCATCAATTCACCACCACCACCAGGGTCAAGCTAAGCCCCTCCCCTTCAGACCGGCCCCAACTATCCATTCACCACCACCAGGGTCAAGCTAAGCCCCTTCCCTTCAGACCGACCCCAACCATCCATTCACCACCACCACCAGGGTCAAGCTAAGCCCCTCCCCTTCAGACCGACCCCAACCATCCATTCACCACCACCAGGGTCAAGCTAAGCCCCTCCCCTTCAGACCGACCCCAACTATCCATTCACCAACACCCTGGTCAAGCTAAGCCCCTCCCCTTCAGACCGACCCCAACTATCCATTCACCAACACCCTGGTCAAGCTAAGCCCCTCCCCTTCAGACCGACCCCAACCATCCATTCACCACCACCAGGGTCAAGCTAAGCCCCTCCCCTTCAGACCGACCCCAACTATCCATTCACCACCACCAGGGTCAAGCTACCCCGGGGGGTTTCATCGGATCGGTTCTACCTTTCCTGCACAACGGGGCCTAATCGCCAAAATCACCATTACATTCATTTGTGTATCTCCGCAAGAAATATGTATTCTTACATCAAAACCGTCTCTCCTGATTGAACTTTCATTTCCTATATGTATCAGCACCAACAGTATTTTTTGAACAAGACGCCATTGACTATGACGATCTGTACACAATCTACATCCATTTAACTGATATTTAAGTCTGGACCCCAGACTGCCACCCAAAAGGTAACCGATATCAAGTGAATAAAGAATAAAAGCATCCCATTTTACAAAATAACTGAAGCTCCCTGAGCTTTCTGAACAGTCTTCGTTCTGGTGTCGCTCTGCTGGTTTGTGAAACACATCTTCTATCAGCACATCTCGTATAACCCTTTTCCCATTGTGTATGCTGCTGTAATGTTTTAATTATCTTCTCTGTTTGTATCGTTCTTATCTTCACGCCACTGCTGCTGTGATATATTACCACAGAGAATATTAAACCGTCATCTGCAGGGGCTCAAACAGAAGGTCAAAGAGTTTATTAATACTGCCAGACACTACTAAACGCTGTCAAATGATCACTAACATCTCACTAATGATTCCTAAATGCAGCATCTGCTCATAATAATGGCTTAAATATAACTTGACTTTGGGTTGATTCATTCTTTGTTGCAGAGCAGAGGATGAGGACGATGGGGAGTGGTAAAAAGGGAGTATAGTTGAAGATAAGGATTAAACTGTTATCCACTTTTCTATGTTTGTCCAGTACATGTATATATTTATCTCTTAATGACATCTTTGGAGAGAGATAGACTGGGTCAATCTCTCTCCATAGAAAAGCCAGCAACGAGCCGTTTTAACATCACTTGAATGCAACATTAGGATAAATTGAATTTGGTCCAATTTCCAAATCCAATCGG